CACAAATACACGATTGTATGTCATCGAAAATATACATAAGTCTGAATGGTTAAGTTTGAAAGTGAAAGCGTGAGTTTGGCATTTGCGGATTGGAACAATTAACTTTTTCTATTTGAGTTGCTCAAAAATATAGTACATATGTACGTATATATAAAAATTCAATAAATTATATAAAAAGAGAGTAAAAACTTAAAAAACCCAAAATTGTACACCCAACACCCCATGTAATCATTTAAAAATTTAAGTTACTTTAAAATTTAATTGTTGAGAGAAGTAAGAATATTTTTTGATGCCAAAAATTGAGTTTGAGAGTTCGAAGTTGTTTGAAGGTAATTTAAAATTATGGCATAATTGGCGAAGAGGTTGTTTCAATGCATAATTTGTTTAAATTTCTTTAATAGTAGAAGCGATACACAAGTCGGAAAATTAAAGTTTTCCTCAAGAACATTAATGTTTTCATCAAGAACATTACAGTTTTTCCCAGACAAGAGCCATGAACTATAAATTGATCTGTTAAGAAGCTTCACTAGGTAGATTTATGAGCTTTAAATGGTTGGTATAGGGAGGATGATTTACCGTAGAGCTCCAACGTAAATGTCTTAAAAAAAAAGTTCCCTTCATAAATACATTTTATCTGAGACAGACAAAGAAGTCAGATTTTTTCTCAAACGGCATTGTTAAAACTGCTGAAATCCTAAAAATTTTTTATAGGCTGAAATGGGCCGAAAATTTATTTACATATTTTATTTTGTTTTATTCTAATTTAATGGTTTCTTATTTTTTTAATTTAATTTATTTTTTAATATATTCTATAAATTTTATTTGTTTTAGTTATTTTCTTTTATTTTAATTTAATTTATTTTGTTCTAGTTTATTTTATTTTGACTTATATAATATAATTTTATTTTATTTTATTTTATTATATTTTGTTTTTTATTATTTTGTTTTTTATTATTTTGTTTTATTTTATTTTATTTCACTTTGTTTGTTTTCATTTTGTCTAATTTTATTTCAATTTAATTTAATTAAGCTTATTTATGTTTAACATTTTTATAAAAAATTATGTTATATTAATTCAAATTATTATTTTATTTTACTAAATTTTAGCTCATTAGTTTTTCATAATTTGTTTAATTTTAATTTATTTAATATTATTTTATTATATTTTATTCTATTATTAGATTTTAGTTTATTTTGTTGTATTTTGTTTCTTTGTTATTTCATTTTATTTTAGTTATTTTGTTTAATTTTATTTTAATTTTTTGTGTAATCAAATTTTTTTTACTTCATTTTATTTTATATTATTTAAATGTTTTTAATTTTAATTTATTTTATTTTGTTCTAATTTATTTTGATTATATAAAACAATTAAATTTTATTTCATTGTATTCTATTATTCCCTGTTTTATTTTATAACGTTTTGATTTTTTTATTTCGGGTGATAATAATTTATTTTACTGCAATTTATTTATTTTCATTAAGTCTATTTATGTGTTTTATTTAATGTTTAGTTTCTTTATTTCAAATTTGTTATTGTAATTAAAATTATATAAGTTTATTAAATTTTACTGAATTAATTTTTTTTATTTTGTTGTATTTCATTTTATTTGGTTCTATTTTAATTTAATTTATATCATTTTATTTTATTATTTTATTTTTATTTCATATTTTATTATTTTATTTAATATTTCTTCATTTTATATTTTTTTCATTTTGTTCATTTCATTAATTAATTTATTTTTTTGATTGATTTTGGTCTTATTTTTCAATATGTATAATATTTTATCATTTTATTTAATATTTCTTCATTTTATTTTGTTTTTATTCTATTCATTTCATTAATTAATTTATTTATATGTATTCTATTTTATCATTTTTGTTATGTTATTTTTAGATTATTTACCAGAAATAAATGGCATTTTTCGCGCTTAAATTTTGTATCTTTAGCTGACACACCTCTTTGAATGATCAGTTTAAATAATTCATATATTTACTGAGTTCTAAAAAATATTCTTGCAACCTAAATAAATAACATACAACTGTTGCACACTTCGCAGACATAAATATTTTTAAAGTAAAAACATGTGGTTACAAAGAAATAATAAACAACCATGCTACGAGTATTATCTTACATACTTTTTCTACTAACTCGTGTCTGCGGTCTTTGTCTGCAATGCAGTAGGAGTTGCTACGTCACCACAACTTTTTGTTTTAAGTGCTGAATTACAAAAAAAAAATAAAAAATTCCAGACTTAGGTTACTTGTAAATTTTGGTAATATTTTAATTTCATATATGCACAAAAAATATTCTTATTAAAATTTGATATAATATTTATAAAAAATAAATAAATTTATTCAATTTACGCCTTTTTATCGCCAGGCACATAATATATATTTACTAAAGATTATCCATGACCATGTTGCTGTTGTTATTTATTTCTATTAAATTAGTTGTCTTATTTTATATGTATGCAACTGCGTTTTTAAGAATAGCTTTTACGACAACGAAAATATTTATTTTGTTGTTTATTTGTTTACCTAAGTGTCGAAATTTGTTTTGCATTTCTACTTCCATGTTCTTATAGCATTGATTAGACGCTGGAGTGGTGTTTGTTTGATTGGATTACCCATATGTGTTACAATAATATCAAATATTTTATTTACATTTCCGTCTCTTCCTCTATTGGGGGAATTGTATTGGTGTGAGCATGTATGCCTGCGCATTCTCGGTAGGAAATTTTGCTTTTCACCCACCCTTTCTTGCCCACACATTCTTATTATCCTTTGTCTTATGTGAAAAAATGTAAGTACCTAACTTTCGGTCTTACAGGTGTATGTGATAGCAGACAACATAAACAAAAATAAAGAAAGTAGCAAAAAATATAATCGAGTATGTAACTCAGTAGATATACGTTCAGGGATTTGAGCCACTTAATCGTAAGTAAGATTGTACTGATTCTTCGTTTAGCTACTACTTTTACATCACAACGCAATGCTGAAGTTCAGATGTTAGGCAATTTATAAACACATTGTTAAACCGGAGTATCTTTAGGCATTATGGAATATTAATTTAAGATATCAGAAATAAATTGTTGAATATGTGAGCCATACTGAGTTATTGGATTGAAAATCCACTCCACTTCTACTTTCTGGTTAGAATCATGTAACTAAGTGATTGTATTTATAAAAAGTAAGCGAAAGAAACGAATGGCGCGCTATTATAAATCGGCTATAATCGCGTAAGCGGTGTCCATGCCAGGAAAGTAAATAAGTAAGCAAGGCTGGCTCGGTGATATCGAATATTAGATACTTGGCCGATAATATATTTATATATTATATATACCTGATATGGTAGATTTTTGATTATTAAATATCTGCTCCTAAGTCAGCTGGGGATGGAAAGTGACGAGCAGTGCGCATACTAAATCCTTGTTCATACTAGGCCATAGGAATTAAGAGCCTTAAATTTTTTTAAATTCAGCCTTGTGTTCAGTTTTTTCTGCGATATACTCTTTGCCCCGAAGTGGGCTGTGATAAGCTCAGCAGAAAGTTTTTTCCAAACTCCATATTTTTCCATTTACTGCAATATTCCCTTACAAATGTGTCTGTTCGTGGTGTGTTTAGAAATGATTTCCACATACAAATCATCGCATCTTAGTAGATATGAATTGTAGCTCTCTCCGTTTATTGGAAAAACATCACACACAAACCGTAAGAGGAGGTGGGCTGTATATAAATTTAAATATCGTACGGATTTCTTTAACTTTTTCAAAATCAAATATATTATACTTAACGGATGGTATAACTTTTAAATCTTATTTTTCTAACTTTTTACTTGAAACCTTTTCGTTCTAATCTACATCACTTTTACTTATAACAATTCATATACTAATTACAGTTATTTTTAATGCAATACAGTAAAATTCTTGAACTCTTTTTTCAGACTTATTCTGATCTTCACGCTGTAATTATATGAGCAGCGAATGTATTTTTGGTCACAAAAAATAGTCCACATTTCCGCGAAAGGCTTTTTGTCACGCAGTATCAGCATTTCGTGAAGAAAAAACCAGTAAATACGCACCCACATACCGCTATATTGAGACGATGTGCGCAAGGGCTGAGCTCATTTTCCCTTCTTTTCTGAGAAACATAACAAAAACATGATTGACCGGACGTCTGAATGGGATCTGTGAATGACATTCTTGCGTGTTGCTATTTGAACGTTCACCTAAAAGTGTGCTCGTCGCAGCACGTACGAATGTTTACACGCATATTCCGGCACCGCGCAGGTGTCAACATGCCAACAACAACAACATTGCTTGGTTAATGAATGAAACTCAGAAAAATACCTGTATTTTGCATCGCCACCCGCGAAGATATTCGCATTTGCGCTTGTGTTGTGGCATGCGTGGTATATAGGATTATCCATTTCGTGGGTTCAAAAGTTCAGAGGTGTATTTTGACATTTGTCCAACTTACTTAAGAGGATATTATGGTATTTGTAAAATTTTAAAAATATTTGAAGAAACTGAATCTGCTACAGAGAGTGTAAGACCTTTGCATCATTGATTTGTGCGGTCCTCGGCGTCCCCAAGAGCTGAGATTTTCTTACGGCAAATTGCCATATATTTCGCACTCGAACTTTCAGCGAGATCCATGTGGTCTACATAGTCCAGCTCTCACAACAACTGAAGACAGCTGATAATTCACAACGCCATACAGATGTACTATATATGCCTATTTGGTGCTTGAGCAATCAGGAGTGGGTGACGATTTTTCTCGACGATTTCAATTGGCCACCAAGTGTGCGAAAAATCGTAAGACGGTAGTTTGAATATTATTTTGTTTCACACAAAATGCCAAGATTCAAACTTTATAATCAAACCTTATAATAAAATTGGAATTTTTTTCGATGCCGCAAAATGGATAAATTTTGTTTTACTGGTAATTTTATTTATTACATAATATTTTACATTCACACATACATACATATTTCTGCGTAAAAAATAGTGTATGCGTTGGTGTTTATGTCAACATGGCAGTGACGTCACTGAGGGTTGGCTATGTAGGCTGTCACTGTGTTGGACAATGAAATATATCTGGTGGTAAAATAAACTACAGGCGAAGTTATAACTGCAAGCGTATTATTCTTAAATTTAATTACAATGAGTAGATTTACGTTATTCTGCTAAGAAAACCGGTAATACTGTTGTATATTTATCTTTATTCACCGAGTCAAGCCACTAAGGAGTTCCCTTTGCGAACAAACAGCTGGAAAGTTTGGTGAGATTATTTAACGTTATTGCAGAATTTAACCGATGCCCTAGCGGCATACGATGTCAAAATCGTTTTTGATTTCGACTTCTACATATGGTCTGAAGCTGGGACCCGAAACATGGAAACTAGCATTAGAAAGTTAATTAAGCTACATTGTTATCTCGAGTTGAAGATGGCGGCGTAGAAACAGTATTTCCCTAACTATAATATGAGATCTAATGGTCCACCAGCTGAGCTGTACCATGTACCAGCATGTTTGGCTAATCTTTGATCTTTGATTGCAACACATGCGCCGAATGTGACGAAAGAAGGATCTCATAATCTGCGGAAACTATATCAGATATAAGTTATTGTTCAGCTTACTGTTTCAAAAGCTTAAGCTCACCGTCAGTGACTTGGTTGAATGTGATAAGTGTGACACCTGATTCACCATACACCATTTATTCGCCATGCTGTAGTTCTTAGAACAGACCGTATCCATTTTTGCGTTGATTTCGAAGCAACCTGCAATAGATATGGATTAGCATCTAAGGCGCTATTTCAGTATTTTTTATTTCCGAAAAATTTACTTGGCTGTATTCACTGGCACTGTGTAACTCCAAAATATCCATCTGCATAGGGAAGGATCTTTCCAAGCCGTTGGATACTAAAACCTTACCTTAATAATGGAGACAGGATAAGGTACAATATTTTGTAAGAATGAATCTGTTCACTCCAGATTAGTCAAATAAACGAAAAAAGTTGGTATGGTAGTGAACGAACACCAGGCGAAATATTTTTTCGACAGTCAGCGCACTCTCGTCTTGGTTCCCACGACACTGTTGTCTGTCGCAACTTTGAAGTTGTAGACGATTTCGTCTATCTAGACTGCGTAGGCAATTGAAAAGTAAAGAGATTTTACATGAACAAATATGCCAGTCCACAAGTTCCTCATCGATCGAATTGTGCTATGTACTAAAGAGGCCTGCACGATGATAACATCTTATGAGTGGACGATTGGAGTTTTCGAACGAAAAATTTTGTGAGAGATTTAGGGTCCGGTGGAAATAGAGGAGGGATATCAAGCTAAAGCGACTACGTTGGCTAAATCATATTGTCCGTATCAAAAATAGTGTTACCCACCGGTGAACCCAAAGGAATGGGGAAGATCTTCAATATGTGGTGCTGTTATAATCGCATAAGCGGTGTCTACGCCCATTAAGAAATGCCTAATTTTGCAATATAAATGCTGCATATTTTACAAATATTTCTAAACTAATTTTAATAAGCATTTTTTTAATTGAGTTTCTAGTTATTTTCATATTTCCTTCACAACCTTCTTTCTATAAAATAAGTATTGGATGAGTGCATAAGTTTGTGCCCGATTTCAAGTGCAAACTAAAATTGAAATTTTTTGAAGAAAGCTCCATCATGTTCGGCAATCCACTCCCAACGTTCAACCAATTTACGGATGCCTGATTCATAGAAATCGCGCGGTTTCTCGTTAAAAAAGGTGTCAAGGTGGTTTTTGACGTCTGCCACATTTTTAAATTTTTTCCATTCAAATTGTTCTGCAGCGATCGAAACAAATGATAATCAGAAGGTGCAATGTCAGGTGAATATGGGGGATGCGGCATTATTTCCCAATTGATCTCCTTCAGTTTGGCCAGGGTCGGTTTTGCAACATGTGGCCTGGCGTTGTCATGATGGAAAAGAACTCCTTTGCGATTGGCCAAAATCGGACGTTTTTCATCAATTGCTTTCTTCAATTCGACCAATTGCTGACAATACTTGTTGGCAGTGATCGTTTCTCCAGCTGGCAGGAGCTCAAAATAGATCACGCCTCGGATATCCCACCAAAAGTACAGCAGTACCTTCATCGGATGAAATCCACCTTTCAACATCGGTTCCGCCCCTTCGTGTGCCTGTTTCCATGTTCTTTTGCATTGAACATTGTTGTACAGGATCCATTTTTCATCACCAGTCACGAGCCGATCCAAAAAAGGTTCGTTTTTGATCCGTCGAAGCAAAGAAATCGCTGTTGACATACGGTCCACTTTGTTTTTTTCACTCAACTGATGTGGCCCCATGTATCGAGCTTCAAAGTGAACCCAGTTGCAGTTGATTTGTTGATGTTCAATTCACTGGCAACCTCTTCCGTCGAAATACGTGAGTTATTCGCAACTAAAGTCCTTAGCTCAGAAGGCCGTCCACTGCGATGATCTTCGATGTTAAAATCTCCAGAACGAAATTTCGCGAACCCTTTCTTTACTGTGCGGAGTGCTGGAGCACGGTCCACATAAACTTCGCGAATAGCTTTAGTTGTGGCGCCTACTGTTTTTCCTTTGCGGAATTCGTATAACATAATATGATGCATATGATCTTTTTCGTTGTCCATCTTCCATGCGTCTTTTCACTAAGCAACTCAAATCTAAATAAAGTTATTTTATGCTTGGTTTACAGTTCGGATTGTTGCCTTTCCAACGATATATAATATGTATATATTTCTTTCACGAGCGCCACTCTCAAATGATTCGAACGGCATACAGCGGAATCGGGCACGAACTTATGCACTCATCCAATAATAAAATTTTATAGTACCACCAAATGTTTCATTTTGGCCAATAAATCCACTAATATTAATAGTTTAAAGGTATTTTGTTAAGAGACATTTTATGACTTAGTTCAGGGAAGTTTAAATAAATACATAACTAAATATGTTACCATTTTTAGTAAATAAATTATGGGTGTACTCGCTCTTTAAAGTGCCGACAAATATATTTTATTTAACATAAATTTAAATACCGAAAAAAATTTGTATGAAACATATGTATTTAATTAGTAATTCAACAAAAAACGTTCTGGTATTTAAATATTTTCCTTTTTAATGCACATAGAATTGCGTATGCACACAAATACATACAAACAATTGCAAAACTTATTAATACTGTAAAGTTGTGCACATTTTTATAAATAGATATTTTGCTTATATAAGACAAACATACAGAAAAAATTATATATACACGTAAATAAATATTTACTATTCCGCCTATGAAATATGTTTAATATGCATACACACCCTGAAGGGGAAAATACTAGTTGTGAATGAGAGTTCAACTAGTTTACTTTTTTACACCACCTAGTTCATCTTCACCCATTTTCCATGTAAGTAACTGGTATTTTTAACACGGCGCTGTCCTACGAACTGACTATTGTCCTACATCAGCTTCATACTAGTTTAATACTAGTTGATTTAGACATGTTGAACTTCTACTTCACCAAAAAAAAAGTTAAATCAAATAAACTCTCACGCACCACAGTGAAGACCTCTTACCATCATACTATCGCTATGATATACGATTATGGAAGAACGAAACTGCGCACTTCAACAGCACTTTTTTGGAATTTAAACTTAGCCATATCATACTAAAACCAAAAGCAACATACGAATGAAGCGGAGGTAAATATATCTGTATCACCAAAAATTAAAAAAAAATACAAATAAGAAATTCTGTTTCCCCAAATATTAAAAAATATAAAACCTAAAAATTAATTTGCCTGCTACGGGACTCGAACCGGGAGCTTAAAGCTCTATAGCGATAGCCTCTAACCATTCGGTTATCATGACGATGCAACGAACGATGTTATTTTGCGCATTTCAATAGTACCGAGCAGAGAACGGAATTCAGCTGGGGTCTACTGATATAACAACAACAAATAGTGGTGGAAATTGTTATTTCTCCCATTACTGGTGGACTTCTTTACAAATAATGAACTGGTATAATTTCATCTTCAACATACTAGTATTTAACTAGTATTTTTGCATACTACATACTGCAGAGTATATATACTTATGTGTCACTGTCACATTTGGCTGTCTAATGTAAATTATAATTTGATTGTGCACAATTTCAGTTTTGTTTGCCTTCGTGTATGTGTATATATGTGTGTTTGCTTGAATTATGTGTAAATTCATAGCTTGACATTTTATTCAAAATCTAATTTGTTAGGCCACCCAAAGAGGCCGAAATTATTTATAATTATTTTTTTTGTAAAGTAATTAACGAAACGAGTATTTTTTTTATTCAAAAACAAATTTCAGCTCTGTTTGTAAATATTAAAGCAAATTTTAATGTGTTTAGAGTGCTTTAAATGCATATGTACGCTTGGCGGGCGTTTTAGCCGAGTGGTTAGCATTGTGTACTGCCATTCGGAAGACTCAGGCTGAAATCCTGGTGTCGTACTAACATTTAAAAAGTTATTAAAAAATTAATTTAAATAATAAATTTAATTTAATTTTGTAATTGCGGTCAACTGTAGATCCCTACATTTGTTGCAAAAACATCAAGAAAGAAAATCACAAATTGGAGGAGGAGCTCGGCCGAAAATCGCTTCAGCGATTACGAAGCGCCAAATAGCATGTGGGCAAATTGACTTTGGTGTTGTTTAAGATAAGTTGATTCAACCTTTACTTTGCTTGCTCGGTTTGCTTACTACCAACCACATCCCTGTTTAAACCGCTCAAGTCTTGTAAATATTTTAACTTAGATATATAAACATATACGAGGGGATTTACAAAAGTTCGTTTAGTTGGAGACTTTCGTTTTGTTTTTATTAAATCTAAAAATAACAACTCCTTTGCAAATGCTTTATTAGTCTGATGATAGGTAAGACAAAATTCCACCACCAGCCCAAAAAGAAGTGCGCCATGTGGTTCTCTCCCGGCTTCGGCGTAATCTGAAACCAATGCAATATTCAGTGACTGCCAAATTGCAAATGGAACGATTGCACCGTCTTCAAAGATTATTTCTAAGTGGATTCTAAGAATCTACTCATTATCCCGTAGAGGACGGGCCCCGAGAAGGTCGAGCAAATTCTTTCACTGTGATGAATTTCCAATTTAACGAAGACTCACGATAAACACAAGAGATGATTATTAATGAACTTGGCTTGACGCCCTTGGTTGTATCGCGAATGTTAAGTAATCATCTGGTATACAAGAAGAAATCTGATGAATGGATACCGCGAAATTTATGTAAGGCCTAAACAAATTCAAAAACGATCAGTCTAGCAACTTTTATAAAGCCGCTACTGATAACGAATCTTAGTTTTATAATACGATCCAGAAATCAAACAGCAGTCCATGGTAGGGAGCCCAACAGTAGCAAACTTAGCAGTAAAACGGAACACTCAAAAATGAGCTACAAAAGTAATGATGCCAGTTTACTTTACCTGATCTAAAACCGTAGTTGCTAGTCCACAGGAAAACGGTCAAACAGTAGCTGCAAAATGGTACACCAAAGAGTGCTTACCAAAAGTTTTCAAACATTTTTTTGGAAAACAGGAAAAAGAGGAATTTTTACATCATAACAATGCACCATTCCACACAGCTTAATTAACGAGTAATTTTAGTGCTATCTCTGGGATATAAGAAATACCAATTGAAATCAGTTGTGATTATGTAGAGAAGATGAAAAGTATAAAGCTCACAAATAAGTATAAAAAGAATTTTCTTTCTGTTCAACTTACCGAACATTTATCAATCCCCTCGTACATATATTTGTATACATATTTCTATAATATATTGCTTTGAATGGTTTTAACCACATCCTCATATAATCGTTCCTCGTGTGCTGTATTTTTGTAAAGTTTTAATTAAATTCAAGTAGAAAAAAGTTTAATTGCCTCTGAACTCCTCCCAGTCGTAGCGCTTTCTAAGGCAACTCTGACGTTGTACTAATTGGTATTGTCATATTTCTGTGGCTGCCCGTGCGCTTCCTCGTCGACTCATACGTTTATCGCCAACTGGAGTAAAATCTGAAACCTCTTAAGGGAGTTGGAGACTTAATATACACGTGGGTTGGTAAATAAAAAAATTAATCATATATTGCGCGTTCGAATCGACCAATTTGTATTGAAGTATGTTTAAGAAACCAATTTAAGTTGTAATAACAATAAAAAAAAAACTTAAATAAAACGCTTTAAAATAATTATTTTTGTTAAACTCCTTTCTTCGATTTTGACACATATCGAAATACCTCAGCCAGTAATTAACGAATGTTAGTTTTCAAGTGTTTAAAAGCTAAAGGTTTAACCGCATAAACACAGTCTTCTTGAACGACCTCCACGAAGTGACGTACGACCTCTGTTGAATTCACCATACCAGCTTTATACACTAGTCCTTGATGAAGTTTCATTGCTAAAAACTTATATAAGTTTAGGGATGCACTATTGCTGAGTTATTCTTTAA